ACTCCCAGCCCTTCTCCGAGCGCGCTGCATCTGATGCCACTCGCCGTAAGAAGGATATTGGTCTCTATGCCATGAACAGAGGTAATGCATACGTCGCCTCCGTCGCTGTTTACAGCTCGTACACCCAGGTTCTTCAGGCCATGTCTGAGGCTCAGCAGTTCAACGGTCCCTCGGTTGTTGTCGCCTACCTGCCTTACAACCAAGAGAACGACTCGGCCCTCACAGTGCTGCAGGAGACTAAGAAGGCCATCGACCTCGGCTACTGGCCCCTGTACCGCTGGAACCCCGATAACGAGGAGAAGGGCGAGCCCAAGTTCTCCCTTGACTCCGAGCGCATCAAGCGCGATCTTGAGGAGTTCCTCCGCCGGGACAACCAGCTTACCCAGCTCATGAATCGCCACCCCAAGTACGCCCCTGTGCTCTCTGAGTCTTATGGTACCGAGGTTCGTGCTTTGCAGAAGAGAAACGCCAAGGACTCCTACGAGAAGCTCCTGGATGGTCTGTTCGGTGCTCCTCTCACCATTCTCTTCGCATCCGATGGTGGTAATGCTCAGAACATTGCTAAGCGTCTTGGCAACCGTGGCCGCGCCAGAGGCCTGAAGACTATGGTCATTGCTATGGATGAGTTCCCTCTTGAGGACTTGCCCACTGAGGAGAACGTGGTCTTCATCACCAGTACTGCAGGCCAAGGTGAATTCCCTGTGAACGGTCGTAGTCTCTGGGAGCATGTCAAGAACACCGGTGATCTTGACCTGTCCACCATCAACTATTCCGTTTTCGGTCTTGGTGACAGCCACTACTGGCCCCGTAAGGAGGACAGGATCTACTACAACAAGCCTGGCAAGGATCTTGATGATCGCGTCGCCTTCCTGGGTGGTCGCAAACTCACTGAAATTGGTCTCGGTGATGACCAGGACCCTGATGCCTACCAGACCGGGTACTCCGAATGGGAGCCCCGTCTGTGGAAGTCTCTGGGCGTCGATAAGGTGGAAGGTCTCCCCGAGGAGCCTGCCCCGATCACCAACGAGGATATTAAGATTGGCTCTAACTTCCTCCGCGGCACCATCGCTGAGGCTCTTCTTGATGAGAGCACTGGCTCTATCCCCGCTAGCGATCAGCAGCTGACCAAGTTCCACGGTACATACATGCAAGATGACCGTGATCTCCGTGATGAGCGCAAGGCCCAAGGTCTTGAGCCTGCCTACAGCTTCATGATTCGCTGCCGTCTCGCCGGTGGTGTTGCCACTCCCAAGCAGTGGCTGCAGATGGATGCCATCAGTAGCTCACACGGTAACGAGACGATGAAGCTCACTACCAGACAGACCTTCCAGTTCCACGGTGTGATCAAGCGCAACCTGAAGGGCGCCATGCGTGCCATTAACAACTCTATGATGGATACACTCGCTGCCTGCGGTGATGTGAACCGTAACGTTATGTGCAGTTCTCTCCCCGAGCTGTCTTCCTTCCACCGTGAGACCTGGGCAATCTCTTCCAAGATCAGTGAACATCTGCTGCCCTCGACCTCTGCCTACCACGAGATTTGGCTGAAGGACGACAACGACAAGAAGATTCAGGTTGCTGGAGATGCTATCGTTGACCACGAACCCCTTTACGGTCCTACCTACCTTCCCCGCAAGTTCAAGATCACCATCGCCATTCCTCCTCACAACGACACTGATGTCTACGCCCACGATATTGGTTTGATTGCCATCAAGGGCGCCGATGGCCACCTTGAAGGCTTCAACGTTCTGGCTGGTGGTGGCATGGGTTCCACTCACAACAACACCAAGACCTACCCCCAGACTGGTCGCATGTTCGGATATATCCCCGCCGACAAGGTCCACCTTGCCTGTGAGAAGATCATGCTTGTGCAGCGTGACAACGGTGACCGCAAGAACCGCAAGCACGCCCGTATGAAGTACACCATCGACGATATGGGTGTTGACGTTTTCCGTGGCGAGGTTGAGAAGCTTCTCCCCGACGGCCTCAAGTTCGGCGAACCCCGCCCCTTCGAGTTCAAGTCCAACGTCGACACCTTCGGCTGGATTAAGGATGATACCGGTCTCAACCACTTCACCTTCTTCATTGAGAACGGTCGTATCGAGGATTCTGCCGATTTCAAGATGCGCACTGGTCTCCGCGAGCTAGCTGAGATGGGCAAGGGCGAGTTCCGTCTCACCGGTAACCAGCACCTCATGATCTCTCGCATCACCGATGAAGATCTCCCCGCCATCAAGGAGCACATGGCCAAGTACAAGCTTGACAACACTGCTTTCTCTGGCTTGCGTCTGTCTTCCTCTGCTTGTGTTGCCTTCCCTACCTGTGGTCTGGCCATGGCAGAGTCTGAGCGCTATCTCCCCGTTCTGATCACCAAGCTCGAGTCCACCCTTGAGGAGTGCGGTCTTGCTCGTGACAGCATCGTCATGCGTATGACTGGTTGCCCCAACGGCTGTGCTCGTCCCTGGCTCGCCGAGGTTGCCTTTGTTGGAAAGGCCTTCGGTGCATACAACATGTATCTGGGCGGTGGCTACCACGGCCAGCGCCTGAACAAGCGTTACCGCTCTTCCATCAAGGAGGACGAGATCCTTGACATCATGAAGGACCTCCTCAAGCGCTACTCTCTTGAACGTGATACCGACGGCGAGACCCCTGAACGTTTTGGTGATTGGTGTATCCGCGCTGGTGTCATCAAGGCCACCACCGATGGACAGAACTTCCACGATGGCGTAAGTGATTCCTTCTATGATATCCAAACTATTAATTCTAATAATTTCATATAGGTTGCCGAAGATGAGGAAGAAGAAGAGTAAATGCTGAACACAGCAGTTACACATATAACCTCGATCTTTTATGATTCTCCCGGGATCTCCCTTCTAATTGGATATTCTCACGTCTGTATTTCACGTCGCAATGCATTGATGTCTTGGCGATTGTATGATTCCATGCAAAAATGTTAGATTTCGTTTCTTTTCTTCTATTCCCTTGTGAATTTCAATCAAGTCGTACATATATACTCAAATGATATTATTTTTCCTATCACTTCCAAGGATCATTCCAATCTAGATAGGTAAACATCCTCTTATCCCCTGAGGCATCAAAAGGTGGCAGGAACTCAACCGTGGAATCGGGACAGGGAGGCGCTGGTAAACCCGAGGTGATGCACAGCTGACATCACCCTGCCCTCTACCTACCTAAGGTTGGCCTCAACCTCCAATGTTGACTCGACTTCATTCTTTCCAACACTTTCGTTAAAATCCATTTCAACCAATTCAACAGGTTGATCAATATGAACTCGATTCTGTCAGCGCCTTTCGCGCCACTGCTCTATCTACGTCCTCGGTTCCGTCAAGATAGGGACTGGTCGTATCGACAAGCACTGGCAAACACATTCATCAAAGTTTTCCTACGCATTTTCGTGGCATTTCACACAAAACCACCACTTTCCCTCGAGCCAGGTCTAGATGGGGACCGCTTTGTCGTGATTGAGCCCGGGGCACAAGAGCTCTACACCAGCATCACAGTAGATGACGAGATCCAGCCAGTGACTGTAGGAGGCACATGGTTTCCATCACTCTACCAGTACAACACAACAACAACCCAAGACAAGCATGTCGTGCTCCACTTCCATGGCGGCTCCTACATCCTCGGCGACGGCCGCACATCATCTTGCCAGTTCCTTGCCAACAGTTTGCTAAAGCACACACCAACAAGCCACGTCTTCAGCCTCCAGTACCGTCTAGCCTGTAACCCCAATGGTCGTTTCCCTGCCCAGCTCCAAGACGCCATTTCGGCCTACTCATACCTACTCCACACCCTACACATCCCGGCATCTCGCATCGTTTTCAGTGGCGACAGTGCAGGTGGCCACCTCGCCCTCGCCCTCCTACGTTACATCACCGATTATAACGATGAGAAGCTCCTTCCCCCGCCAACGTGCTCGTGGCTTTTCTCGCCTTGGTGCGATATCCCCGGCGCCCGCAGCAAGAATCTCTGGGAAAACATCCCCAATGTGCAGACGGACTACATCCCGCCCTCATTCCCCGCGTGGGGCGCGAAGCATCTTATCGGTAACCTGCAGATCACTCCCGAGTTTGAGCCCTATCTTGCGCCAATCTGGCATCCCTTTGTCCTGCCCTCGCCTGTCTTGGTTGTTTCCGGTGGCAGGGAGGTTATGTGTCAGGAACATGATCGGTTGGTGAGGCATTTGAGTAAGATGCAGCAGAATGAAGGTCGAGTGGAGTATTTTGTGCAGGATCTTTTGCCTCATGATGTGCTTATGATTGCTTGGATTCTGAACTTTCGAAAGGAGGCTGATCAGTGTTCTGTTAAGGCTGGGACATTCTTGACTAGGATGCAGGCCGTGTCGGAGGAGGATGGTAGTGAGGTTCCTTCTGTGGCTTTTGAGTCACGATGATTTTGCTATGTATGCCCTTTGGGAGTACCATATTGCTACCTATGTATTGAGATTGAGCTGAACTTTCTGAACTCTTGACTCTGCCTCGCAGAACAGCTTATGCTGTTTAAGGAGACTCTACAGATTCTCTTAGGCTTATTAGAAAGGCCCTTTGGTAGCTACTATCATTTCAGCTCTATTCTTGTCGTCTCTACAGCTTTTGTTCGGTCGAAGTAATCAGAAATACCGTCTTTTTCAAATTGCAGTCATTTGTTTGCCAGCGAGGCAGACTCCAGCCCTGGACCTTCTTCAGACATTAACCCCCCAATCTTCTTTTTCCTCTTTCACTCTCTTTTCTCTCAACTATCAAACTAAGATCCTGTACCCATCGCAACTTGCAACCCGCACCGAGGCTCCTATTCTCGAAATTATCACATCAAACCCAACACTGATCACATCCGTGCTCTCATACGAAATCGTTGACCACTGTCAAACTCCATTCCCCCGCTAGCTCACTGCTTTGAAAAGCTGGAAACACACTGGGAATTCGAAGACACGTACATCCGCATCGCCCAGGGCACTCTTCTACACACCATCGCGGCCAAAAATGGCTCCCATCCCAGGAATGATACGCGAAGCAGCTCGATTTGAGAACCAGTACCGCATATACTGGATAGACTACGGCCAGTACACCAAGATAGCGACAACTGACATGCACACCAGCTACAGCAAGCTGGCAAACATCTCTCACGAGCTCCAGGATAAATGGGTGGTCATTACCAGCGTTCTTTTTGCGATCATCGTTGTGGGCATCATCGCCCACTGCTGCTTTTTGGGAAGATACAGGTATGTGATGAATACCCTATTTGTGATTGCGCGGGGTACTGATCTGAGTTGGTCATGCAGTTATCCGCGACAAACTGCACCTACCGAGGATAAGACGACGGAGGACGCTGAGTATCCGGATATGGTTGAGGGTCCCCGCTCAGGTATGTTGAGACATACATATGTCTTGGTGTGTGCCCGGCTCATGATTTATAGATGGCTGGATGTGTTTCATTCTGGCCTGCCACGCTGCCATTACCCTCGGTGTTGTCTGATGCGGAGGAACGTGTCCAGTTGTTGGAGAACAGGACAGTCAGATGAATACCCCCCGGTTCTCTGCTTGGCTAACGATTCTCCGTGGGACTGCAGTTGTCTTGTGAAACCTGAAGGTAGGACTACAAGTCTGGTGCTTGTGGTCTGAGCCTAATGTGACGATTTATTTATGAGACTGGATTGAATATTGGTTCGAGCGTTCAGGAATGGATATTTCTATGCTTAGGGGAAACGGCCCACTCAGCATCAATCAAGTGGAGGAAGGGATGTGCAGTTTGAATCATTATTAACAGCAGAAAATGTTAGCTCCATAGCATACATATATGCTAGCGGATATCGTTCGACGACTTTGTACAAGTAGATAGGGACCATTTAGTTTCTCGCAAGAGACCAAAACTTATGTATAGGAGACATAAACGAGCGGTCTTGAGGTATGCCCCGGCTAAAATGATAATAGACAATGTCTAAGATCATTTCAGGAATTGAGACATTTGGTAGTGAAGCGCAAGCCCTGGAAGCACCACACCCACCAAAGATGAAACTTGTACTGGGACAGCATGGACCCAATAAAGTCTATCGCAATGCACAGGGATCGTAGTTCATCAGAGAACATGCTGTTCAGAGCAATCCTTATCACTCCCAAAATACGAATGGAAGGTCAAAGCGGGACCACAGTATGCCTTCTCATCAAATCGATCGACCGGGCCCAGCTTCAACCATCCATTCCGATAACTAGTAGCGTCTATGCGTAGACACTGGGTATCGCAATCTCGGCGGTGCTCCCTGTTGTCCTCGTTGGTCATGTAATGCTTGACGGCGCCGGAGATTGTGTCACGCTGTGTTTCCATGTCGCATTCTGAGTCGGCAGACTGCCAGGACCATTTCATGTCCTCGTAGGTCCCGCTCATCAAATCGCAGGTTTCTGGGTTGTAGATTTCCTTGATGGTGTTCGTCAGAAATTTCGCCCATTGGGATACATAGTCTGTGGCTGCAGTTGGGGTCTCGGCGAGGTTGTCTGGCAGCCCCGCGATAGATGATGGCCACGTTGCGGCTAGTGTTGAGGTTGACAGGCAACACGCTGCGATCATAATCTTTGGCAATAACATGGTGAAAACTGATCAAGTGACAATTATAAACTAGGTCATAGGAATCTTGGAAAGGTGAGATCTACGTGGGATGGTATTTATATCCTCGCCAAGTAATCCAGCCCCGGGCGTAAACAAGGTACCCGTGTATACCGGGGTTCTACTGAAACTTTGGATTATCATTGGACGACGTTTATTAGACTGATCCACATCTCTTTGTATGGTGGATCATGATCCTCTTAGATTAAATGAGGCTCTAATTATGGCGTATCGTCAATATCTCACACATTATGACCTAAAATCTACTAGATCTGATTCTGAGCGATGGATCTATGTTTTACCAAGCCAGACGAAAGTCTACGGAGTCCAAATATTTAGCCAAACAACTCTTTATTGACGTGCAAACCTCAAAGAGATTTGAGAGTAGTCTAGCTAATTGTATTTAAATCCTGGTCAAACCCGACCATCTCCATCAATTAACATCGCACCGATCGTCCAACCCCGAGTACCCTGACCCACGCCATGATATCCTCCTCGAGGATTGGTCATGAGGCGCATCGGACCGCGTTGGCCACTGATTGTATCATTTCTCAAATGATTGATTGCAACCGACATCATGAAAATCCATGCATGCCGGCGCATGTACTTATTAGGTAAAGGTGCACAGTCCTTTCCTGGTTGGCCGTTGTGACCGTTTCGATGGTGACCGATTTGGTCCCGATGGGACGAATCCGCCTGCCCGCTCCGGGCGGCCCTGACGTCCCGCTTTCGTTTCGACTACCCCATCCTAGAGGCATTTCTTTGTCGAATGGTGTTAGTTGCCCTAATCCAAGGGAACCATGTAAATGGTGACCGATAGGTCCCGGTAGGATGAATGCGGCTGCTGAACTGTGCTAGCCGTGATGCCCTTCTTACTTTGCGACTACCCCATTCGCGACTACTCCATTCGGGGACATTTCTTTGTCGACTTAAACTTATTGCCGGTTGCCTTAATGAAAAGGAACCGGGTGTGTCTGTAACTCAAACTGTTACAGACGTCTTATTGGCACGAGTGATTCAGGTGCCCTCAAGTCATGATAGCGAGTTGGGTGTGAGGATGGACGAGTGGATTGACAACAATTGATGGAAAATAGGAGGGTTTGAGCAAGGGTGCGTCTCTCACGCCAAATGCATCGAGGTGGAATTGGCGTGCTTGATGATGACGGAGGGTGGAAGAGCCTCGACGTCAGGGGAGAGTGCTTGTAATGAGAAGGAGGATAGCATGGTAGCTCTCTCAGCACAACTCGATGGTCCTCAAGAAGAAAAAGAAAGAAACAAGGGGGAATCGGGGCGATATTCTACACCAGCGCCGGCTCTTTGTGGGTGAGTAAGCAATAGCGGTGAACCGATAGCTGCCATTCTGCCATCTCCCCGCCGATGAATTTCGATAAAAAAAAGTTATCAGTTCAAGTGATTCAGCTTAGGGCAATTATTGCAATTTCCCTGCATTTTTATCGCTCCTTTTTCGTCTAGATTACTTTTTCACCTTATCGCCATGACTTTTCCCGATGACGACCCTGTCGTCGCTTCCTACGACGTCCTCCTCACTGACTCGGATATCTCTCGCTATGTTTTCCAATACGTTGATCGAGAGCACGACCGTCCCTACAATGATCAAGAAAACCAACGACCGATCCAACTTCGAATTAAACCGCGCACCGGTCTTATTGAAGTTGAAGTCCCCATCAGCACCCGAGAAAACTACGACGTTAACAAGGGAATGCGCTACGGAGATGCGGTAAAGAAGAGCCGTTCTGCGCGCGACGGAGGTGCTTATGGCATGGCAGGCGGCTTCACTGCTGGCAGCGGAACTGCAGCCGCAGGGGGGAGAGTCAAGATGGAAGGGAATGGGGATGTGGAGATATTGGATAATAAGAGGGCTGTGGATTCAGCATCATTGATGCGAGTGCAGTCACTTGGAGGTCGGATAAAGCCTTCTGAAGAAGGCGATCCAGTTTATATGCTGGCCACCTTCACAGATAGTACGTTGATTCTACTCGATCGGTTTCTTTTCTGGTGGCAGTATTCGATTCTAACACCCGTTCTTAGAAAACCTGCATCTTTCACCCGTCACATCGGTTGTCCAGTTCCACCCTCAGCTTCACCACCTAGATGCTTTGGATGAGATGCCAAAAGGGAAAGGCTCCCGTAAAAAGGATGACGATGACCGTCCTACCGAGAGCGAAGCACGTGCGATTGATATTAAAGTCAAGGCCGCTGAAGACGGTGAAGCAGCTGCAAACGCTGGCAATCTAGACCTTCTCAAGCAAATGCAAGATGAGAAATGGAAAACATACGGCTGGGTTGATGCCGAGGTATGTTATTTGTTTGATGGACCTTGATTTTTGTTTCCCACTAACTCTTACCGATCCCAGGCTGAGGATTCTTGGTACACATATGAGAGCTATATGATCCACAAGGATACTGAAAACCTCCCGTCCCTAGAATCAAATATCGAGTCGGAAGAATACCTCGATAAAATGAGCGCCCCTAGGATTGATCCCGCCCGCCCCGACTTGACTGGTTGGGCCATGAAGGAAAATCGCCGGAGGCAACGAGAGGGACAAGCAGGCAATGAAGCGGAATAGGGGTCACATTGTACAATAATCCAAACAATCAATTTCTAGCGGAAGCTTATCAGAAATATTCAAAACGCCTGCGTCACGTTAATTAGAAAGGAACACGCGAGGCTCTTTACGCCTCGCCACTCGTACTTGTCCGCCAATCATGATAAGAGAATGGATATGGTCACGTGCCAAGTTCGGTTTTTCTGCCATCTCCGTTTCGTCGCGACAGGTTCGATAAATCTCCCTTTCTCCATCGTCGCTTTCTTTTGTTCCCTTTCCCCTTTTTTCAGTTCGGTCGAGGGTTGCAGGACAGCGCGCCAACCCGATCATTATCCGTCTTTTATAGCGGACTCGCATTGGTCTTACGCAACATCCATCATTGCGCTGTTCTGTTTTTCTGGCTTTCATCGTTGAAAGTCTGCATCTACCTTATAATTTACCATAATATTTTTTTCTTTTGGAGTCATTATATTTTCATTCACTTTCAACCTCCAACCTGAGATTTCTAAATCCCAGGAACGCCAATTTCATGCACCATGCTATCCCGCGTGGCTTGTCAAAAACATGCTTTCCTTCACCTGCGGCGGACTCCGGCCCTCCGACCATCGTTCCATCTGCCGACAACACGTTCTCATTCATATTCGAGTAATCGGAACCCGCTTTTGAATCTATCGTGCAATTCGATTCACGATCGCCCACGCAATCCGTCACCGCAATCAGAACGTCGCCTTGCTACAGCCGCTGACCACTCTAGCATCGATGGGCATTCGCTGGACGCTTACGACCACTTCATGCACATGCCGTTTGAAAGCTTCGATACATCATCCTTAATCATCCTCGACTCGACGCCACAATCGCAATCAAAAGTTTTCCGCAGGAGACATGGTATCGGCGGTGATGAAATGGAGATGAAGGCCAATCTAGAACTCTCATTGAAGCTTGGGGAGTTCGAGCGAGCCTCTGGGTTGATTGTTCGGCTTGGCCATTATCATCCGCCTGGCTCGGATGAGTATCTCGTTATGCATAACCGTTTCATGAAACAGATGGTGGCGCATATGATACTCAACCGGCAGCAAGATATGGTTCTGCCGTTGCAGAAGTGGTTCGAAGTCGATATGCCTGCTGGTGGCGTGACACCGGATGCAAGCACTTTCGCGATTATGATTCGAATGGCGCTGCGCATGCTTCATGGATCAAAGCGCGACAGAACTGTCCGTCGATACTGGGAACTTGCCCAAAACGCGGGCTTAGAGGAAGAACTTGTCGGTATTGAGGTTCTTGAGGACTCTGACGTTGGTGAACTGTCCAAGGTGAGTTTACTCTTTTAGTCTGTACCTTGAAATCCTACTAATGTTCCAAAACCAGATTTGCTCCTCCGACATGTTAGACTTGGTCTCAAAATATATGGAAATCTCCCCAGCTACTGAGCTGCGTTCCGTGCCCTCCGCCATCGTCGATGATACCCCCCAGGTCCAAGCTGCTCACCAAAGAGGATTGGGACTGGAATCTCTGCAACAGTCACTGTCTCTCTTCTCCGGCAAAAGCGATGTATCCTTGCCCGAAAATTTTACGGGCACCGAAGAAGAAGGAAAGCAATTGATTTCAGATCTGAGGCAAACACGACTCGAAGCTGATAGTCTTGATTCGGCCCTATGGCGTTGGCGCTCGGATAATGCCGAGAGACAAAAATCCGGATTCAACGTCGCGTCTGATGAGAAAAAGCTCAGCGGAATCATGAGCCAATGGCACGCGGACCTTGTCGCAAGAATCAAGAAGGAGCTTGCGCTCGTTGAAGAGGCTCTTTCGTCTCGTATCATAAGCGAGGAGCAAAAGGAGCGCTGTGAATATGGTGTGTTTTTGCAAGCCCTCGATCCCGACCGGTTAGCTGCACTCACTCTCTTGTCTGTGATGTCTTTGTTCAGCCGCCAGGGAATGGACAAGGGAATCAAACTTTCTGCCCTTGCTTCAGTAACTGGAAAAGAGTTGCAGGATGAACTCATTGCCGACGCCTATCTGAGAAAGAGCAAGTCTATGGATCCGAATCGTCTCAAGGCACTGAAGCAGGTACTCTCAAACCGCAAAGACAAGCAAGGCCGACCTCGATGGCAATCTCTCGTTGACAAGATCGCTGCAGAAGATGAATCTGTAATATGGGGCCCTCGCTCACAGGTCAAAATCGGTGCTGTTTTGATGGGCATGCTAGTCGAAGTTGGGAAAGTCGCGGTTTGGGCCGAGGATCCTGTCACCAAAAAAAGGACCCTCACCATGCAACCAGGCTTCGACCATTCTTATCAGATTCACTTCGGGAAACGATCCGGTCATATCCACATGAATGCCAAACTTGTGGAAATTGTTGCCAGAGAGCCACCCGCTGAGCTGTTGGCCCGCCACCTCCCCATGGTTTGCAAACCTAGA